CCACAAGGTAGCAAAAGCAGCAAGGGGCCTTAGCAGGGTCTTTCTGCCCCTTTTATCCAGGATACTGCAATTAGGGGGGGAGTGCCAAACCAATCACTCACCTGTAGATGAGCCTTCAAGGGACATCTAAACACAAGCCATAACATTGAGTGTAGACCCAAGGAATAAAATTACAGTTTTCTGCAATTTTGCCCTTGTTTACCATGAAACTGGACCACAAGCTTTCAAATTCCATGTACCAAATTTAGTGCCAAAATACATACTTCTGTATTATTAAAATACATACCTCAAAATACATATTCTTTTTTTCCATCCATAGCGGGGCTTTGCTGATGGTTATTGATCCTAAAAAAGAGCATGTGTGTCCAAACAGGATGAGCAGCTTGCCACCCAAGCATTCACTCCAGAGTGGCTGTTCTGTAGTGGAATTGGTGGTCCAGAACCTGGCCTTCAATTTTGCAGGCCGAGATACGTGATTGGCTCTGTACATGCAGTGATCACCAAGCTCCGGAAAATGACACACAGTAATGACCTTCACAAATGGCTGAAGTATAAATTAGAAAGCATATGGAATTCTTTTCAGAAAGAAATAAAATTGACAGGTCAGCTAGAGAATCTTATATAGACTTAAAGATGTACTCCAGTGTGCATGCACAAGTGGTTTACAATTGTGGAAATAGGACAAGGTCAGTCGAGGTTTCACAGGGACTAGTGTAATTCAACTTTGAAACCTTGATATCCTCTTCCTCTGTATAGGATCAGAAAATGCAAAACATTCATCTGAGACCAATGTTTCTCTGGATGGTACTAGAAACATTGTCCAATTCTTAGAGCTTTGTTTCTATTTTTAATCTGATTTGCTCATAAATTTTCTTTATATAATTTATAGTACAGATTGTCTCATTTACCTATGTTCTTACCCTGATATTGTTAATTTTTCAGTTCTCTTCTCCATTCATTTCTGAAGCATGTTTAAGGGCAGGTAGCTTCTGCAAATAGCTATATCAATTGCTCTGTGCTCTTTATTCCTTTAATTTGCAAAGATCACTATTGCCTCTACAATAGGTGACCATTTACAGCGATACCGATGAGCCTGATGTGCTGATCATTGTGGTGTTATCAAGGGCTGTGTCCTAGGCAGTACCTAACACACTGATGCACTGAAGACATTTTGCAACAGAGTAGTAACTCTGTTTGGGATGAAGGAAAAGGAACTGAAAGAAAGTTTAAAAAAATGCTATGGAATATGAAACCAGACTAATTATTTTTCAAAGCAGTAATAAAAGCCTGTTCTCTTCCCTCTTTTTCTTGCTCTTGACCCCACAGTGGTAAAGCTCACACTGAACTCAGTAGCACACAAAGTAGAGTTCATTCATTCTGGGAAGGCCATAAATTACTAGGTAGGTAAATCAGAGAGGTTCAGATTCCCTAAGGCAGATGCACTGAGTGAATTTAGTCTGGTTTTCCCTGGCTTGAAGAACACAGACTTTTTTTTTAATGACTTTATTTTGTGATGTTAGTCAAAGCAGGACCTGGAGCCAGGAGATAGCTCATAATGGCCCAGTCTAGCGCTCTGATTGAATCATCAGAAGAGAGCTGTGAGTGGCTCCTAAGTTCAAGAAAGCCACATTTAAAATATCCTCCATTAGGCTGATCTTAAGAGTGCTTCAAAGCCTTTATTTTAAATATATTCTTTTGGATCATTGTCGTTATGGTGCTATTTATAATATGCAAATGTTCAAACAAGCACAAGCACATGTTTGAATTTGAATTATAAACCCTAGTTGAAGGGAGGACACACTATTCCTAGCACACTTCGACAATATTAGCCCTGCCAAGGATACAGCTGAAGGGCTCCTGCTCTCTGCCACTATCATCATCCTCAGAAGCTTACAAAATTATCTCTGTATCCCAGCTTTGGGAAGAAAAGTAATTTGGCTTTTGGGGAAAGGGTACAGCAATGGATTCAGCAAAAAGGGTACAGAATTCTTATACTATAGAAATATAGTATAGATGTAAGTAAATTATTCAAAAATAAATTTGCCTAGATTGCCACTCCTTGTCTAAAAAAATAATAAAATAATCAGAGATGTTTCCAATTGTCCTAAGTAAAACCCTTTTTTCTTATTTCTAAGTTTATGGCTTTTAAAGGTAATGTCCTAAGGCATTGTTTTCATGATATCAAAAATGAAAAAGGTGGGAGGTTATCACCTAAACACCAGAGATTCTGCTTAGCCTGGTGCAAGGAGGTGACGGATGAGGTTGTCAGATGTGGTAGCAGATTACCCGACAGGATTTTGCTTCCTATGGTGATCTTTTACATTTGACAAATTCTTCTCCTTTTCAAGGTGATTTAAACATACAGTTATGAAGGAGATCAGAGCTTTTAAATCAAATTTGAAAATTGTCTTTACTGCCAGCAGTACAAGTATCTTGCAATGAGTTTATACACACAATAAATAGATGAGTTGTGTACATGTTTGAACACATTTGCTTTCCGGCAGTCTCTTCTGGGGAAGTAAAATAGAAGAAAAGAGGGAAAGTCAGGAAAGCTGAAGTTTCCCCAGTGTCGTAATTCTGTCTCTTATCCTCCAGTCTTCTAAGTCTGGTCATTATGCTCAAGTTTCTCATTCTGGGCTGGGAGCTTCATGCGAGAAGAAAGCACCATCTCAATTTTTCACTTATGCCACCTCAACTGCCTAGAAAGTGCCCAGCACATAGTAAGCCCTCACTTTTTATCAAATAAATAAATGTACAAAATGAGATTAATCAGAGCAGTTGCTTTATAGTTGGAATAAATGTCTCATGGGGGAAAAATGAGACAAAGGGATTTAAACCCTCTTGAAAAAATATTCTGATGTAGATCCAAAGTGATGTTACAGTCCAGTGGTGGCGAACCTAGAGCACATGTGCCGCAGCGGGCTGTTTCTAACATTGAAAGCTCTAAAAGGTTAGCCATCACTATTAGTCTCTTTATTTTATTGCTTACACAGCCTTCCAAATCAAAATCACCTTTGAGGTCAGAAAGACTTGATGTCTATTCAGCACTGGTGATAGCAAGTCTCAGACTTATTAATCAGCCTTAGTGTGGTGAAAAGCCTACTCTAGGATAATGAATCCCAGTTTTAACACTAGTTAAAAGACCTTTGCCATGTTATTTAACCTTTGATGGTTTGATTTCCCAAAAATGGGGCCACAGAGAATACCAGGTCAAGGAGGTGTGAGGATAAAGTGATATAATTGATGTAAAGGTTGTTGCACGGTACAGCATGTGTGATGCACTCCATAAATGTTAACTTGCATTGCCTTTCCAGCCAAAAATTTCTGCTCAGTTCATTGTTTCTTTCTGTCTCTTTTTCTACTTGGGTATATGTATTAATTTCCTGAAAGTATCATTTTAAAAGTACCACAAACTGGTTTAGAACATCTCAAATCTCTTTTCTCACAATTTTGGAAGCTAAAATAACAGAATCAAGGTGCTGGCAGAATAGTGCTCCCCTTAAATCCTGTGGAGAGGGCTTTGGCTTATATCTTCTAGCTTCTGGAAGCCCAGCCCTTCCGTGGCTTGTGGCAGCATAATCTTTATGCCCACAATTTTCTTTCTATCTCTTTATATCTTCTTCCCTCTCTCCATGTCTCTGTCCAAATTTTACTTTTGATAAGTCATATTGGATTAGTACTTACCCTAATAACCCCCTTTTAACTTGATTACTTTTGTGACAACACTATTTTTTAATGTGATTACATCCTGAGGTACCAGAGGCTAGGACTTCAGTATATTTGGGGAGGGCCAGGGATTTAGTTCAGTGATTCCGCCGCCTGCCTCACAAGTGCAAGGATCCAAGTTCGATCCCAGGTACCAAAAAAAAAAAAAGATAAAAAGTAAAAAGTTCTGAAATATCTAATCATTTTCAGTTATCTCAATTCTTGGACTAAAATCCCACTGTCTTATAATGCCAGCAAATGAGTTACTGCTTTTTATCAAATGAAACCTTTGCTATATTTAGGTTGTTAAAATATATAAATGGTGCCATTGAGCCATTTTTGCTTTTTGGCTTTTGTTTTGTTTTGTCTTGTTTTGTTTTTTGCTTTTTGGAATTTTTTTCCAATATTGCAAGCAATATATATTTTTATTAACATATAATGATTGTATCTATTTATGAAGTACAGTATGACAATTCAATACATGCACAGAATGTGGAATGACCAGATCATAGTAATTAGCATTTCCATCTTTGTAGGTATATATAATTTATTTTTAGCTCTTTTCTTCTAGTTTTTTGTAAAATATATAACAAATTGTTGTGAATTATAATCACACTACTATGCTCCAGAACGTTAGAATTTCTTCATCTGATACTTTGGTAAAGTTTTTTTAATGCCAAGCATTCTCTTATTAAAATAAAGTATAAAGGTTAGTGCTGTGTACCTTTCTAATTGTAGTAAAATTCAACTTATATAAAAATTATCAGGGCCGGGGATTTAGCTCAGTGGTTCCAGCACCTGCTTTGCAAGCGCAAGGACCCAAGTTCGATCCCCAGTACAAAAAAAAAAAAAATTATCAAACCAAAACTTCAGAGACTAGGAAATATGAGACATCCTTTTAAAGAAATAAGAACCATACCATCAGGGTTTATGTTATGTACCTTTTCCAATTGTAGTACAACTTGTGTAAAAATCAAAAGCAAAGCTTAAAGAATTAGGAGAAATGAAAAATTAAAAGCTGTCACTGATTCACAAAAATATTAGCAACTTTCCTGAAAGTTTGGTCAGACTACCAAATTTAAAAATCTCAGCTAGAAAAAAATTGTGAGAAGAGAAATTAAAAGGACTTTGGCAACTCTGAGATGTAACAGTTTAAAGTCCACAAGGCCAAAATGTGTTGAGCACAGATAACCTCATGATCAATCTTGAGCATTGTTTGAGAAAAATTAAAATGTTCTTTTCATCACCTGAGAACTGTTGCCATGTGTTCACCAAACCGTTTCCTTCTCTTTCAGCATCCTCCATTCTCAAGAGGGAGAAGCGGTTGAGGACAAAGAATGTGCACTTCAGCTGTGTCACCGTATACTACTTCACCAGGAGGCAGGGCTTCACGAGCGTGCCCAGTCAGGGGGGCAGCACCCTGGGCATGTCCAGCCGCCACAACAGTGTGCGCCAGTACACCCTGGGCGAGTTCGCCCGGGAGCAGGAGAGGCTTCACCGCGAGATGCTGAGGGAACACCTCAGGGAAGAAAAGCTGAACTCTTTAAAACTAAAGGTAAAAAACGTGAACTCGCTTCTTGCCACACCTCATATCCTTATAGCTATTTGAATCAACAATTTTCACACTTATATTCACAAATCAAACTGTGCACTTTACATGACACACTACCTGCTGAGCCTTCATTTTTTTAAAAAAAGCGAAACAATATAGTGTCTTCCTTGGATACCTACCTGACATCATTTATTCATCTATTCTATAAATCTTTACTATTGAATTTTGCTAGATTTTTACACCTGTGCTTAGACTGCAGCAAGCAGGTCACCAAAAATAGATGTGGTCCCCCCCGTACAGATTAATAGCAAAGAAAATATTAATCAAGTTGTCAAACAAAATTAAAACTTTGTTCAGTGCTGTGAAGGAGAGTAACAAGGTGTTATGAAAGTGGTTGGTAGGAAATTGATGTGATTCTTCCTTTAGGAAGTAAAATAGTCTGAAGAGGTAACTAGGCAAAGAAGATTGGCAAGAGTGTTTCAGGCATTGGGAAAAGCCACAGCTCACTTGTCCCAAGAGAAGCAATGAGCACAAATGTATGTTTGGTCAGAGCAGAGGCAAGAAGAGTAAAGTGACATGCAGGAGGCAGGGAGGTAAGCCACACTAAGATATTTTTCTTCTTCACACTAAGGGTATCAAACATCATCAAGAATTTTAAGCTTGGCGTGGTAACGTAATATCTATTTCAAGCACTGTGTGGAAATAGTGGAGGCAGGGAGAGCCATGGTGGCAGAAGACATATGCAGTTAGATGTGGTGCAAGACTCTTAACACTAGTCCACGAGAGAGGTGACCATAGGTTAGGTTAGACTGACAGTAGGAGGGATGAAGAGAGACGGATAGAAGAAGACATTTATTAAGCAAAACCAACAGTGCGTGATAATGGGTTGGCTTTGGAAGGAAGAGAGAGGGACAGTCAGAGATGACAACTAAATTTCTTGCTTGGAAAACTGAATGATTATAGGTAATAACATTGTTTGCTGTCACAGGAAATGGCTAGGAACACAGGAAGGAGTGCAAACTGGGGGTGAAAATTAGATGATGAGAAATTTTTTCAGAATACTGAGTTTGAGAGGTTTTAAAATTATTTATTAAGAGATGTCAGAAAGGTTACCTAGGTGGATATGGCTATTGTTGTGCCACTTTAGAGATTAAGTGAAGAGAAATACAATGCAGAAAATGTCCTTTTTTTATTGGACACATTCTACTCTTATCAGTGCATAGAAAATAGTCTCCCATTACTAATGACAAAGAAAATATATTTTAGGAAATCCAGGTACTTAACCTAAAGTATCATCCAATAATCACCTGAAATACCATAAGAACACCTGTGCTACTTCAACTTTCATTTATGAAATCAGTCTGAAGAGGTGTGATCCATTTCAAAACCCCTTATTTTTGTGTATTTAATGTGTCTACCTTATTCCCCATTTCATGATAAGACATGCATTTAAATTAAGCTGGACAGTCTATCCTAGACGAAGTCTCATATTTCTTTTGCCAGTATTTTGATAAGTTTTATGGAAAGTCCATTATGTTTTTGTGATAGCAATTCACTAGTATAATTGTTTTTATGGTTGTAGTTTAATTTAATAATAACTATCAAATTTCCTGCTGAAATCTATCCTCTGCCTTTATAATCTGCTGGAAACCAACTCTAGCCTTTACTTGAAGACTGAAGTCATTCTCCAAATCCAATTATTGGTAGAATAGTGGCAGTGGCTACCAGTCATTGATGTTTGTTTGCCAGGCATTTTATAAACAATATTTAATCATCATCGACACCCAATGGGATAGGTAAAATATCAGAACATGTGTACGACAGAGGAAGAAGAAGCACAAAGATGTTCTAGCAAGTGGAACTGTAATGCTGAGAACCAGAATTTTGAGGCATATTTTTTATGTGCTGCATATTAGGGGGAGCCACAAACCTACAGCAACCTTTCTCCACAAGTGGCAGCAATATAGCCTACTACTATAATTTGTATCCAATACCTTTTTTGTTTTGTTTTGTTGGGTACCAGAGGTTGAACATAGGACCTTATCACTGAGCTAAATTCCTGCCTTTTTTGGAACTTTTTTTTTTTTTTGGTACCAGGGATTGAATTCGGGTCCTTGCGCTCGCGCAGCAGGCGGTGAAACCACTAGCTAAATCCCCGGCCCTAATTACTACCATTTTTAATTTTTAAAATTTTGAGACTGGGTCTTAGTTGCCAAGTTGCCCAGGATAGGGTCAAACTCCTGCCTCAGCCTCCCAGAGTACTGAGATTACAGGTGTGTGCTACCACCTCTGGCTTCCTTCCAGTGTGCGCTCTCTCTCTCTCTCTCTCTCTCTCTCTCTCTTCCTTCCTTCCATCTTGTCTTCCTGTCTTCCTCTCTTTCTTTTCTTTTTTTAACAAGCTGAACAGGAAGAGAAGAAATAGAACATTCTGTTATTGATTTATTTTTAAAATTATATTTAGTGTTGGAAGTTGGAGAGGCAGTCATCGAGTAGATATGGTATCTTGGTTTGTTATATTTCAAATGTAATTTTTCTAGAATATTAACTTATATGGTTTTTAAAATATCATTGATTACAGTCATCTAAGCCTTGATTATTCAAATGCAAAATTAGCTACCAAAAACATGAGCTATCCAAAACTTTCAATCTGGCACATGAAATTTCACTTTTAATGTGACATTTGTTTTGCAGTATAAATCCCTATGGAGTAATCAACAAAATAAATGTGGCTAAATTGATTCCCTTATTTTGAGTGGGGTTTCAGAAGGGTAAAAGAGGGATCCAGAGAGGAAAAGAAGGATCATTAAAGATAGACTTTACCCACTTGGATTTTGCCTGAAATAGTCTCCTGGGACCCACAAACTGCCTGTTGAGTAAGGACTGAGGGAAGACAGCCCTCAACAAGTTGACATTTCCAAAGCCCTCTTTAGGGAGACCAGGTAAAATACCACGGGAAATTCACTGGATTTGGACTTGAGTAGTTTTCCTTCTATTTATTTCAGAACAATTTTAAAAAGCGAAGAGAGATTTCTCTCTCACTACACCACCGTATTTTCCCAGGGCCTCTCTGCTGAGTTCCAAACAGGCAACTATTTATACCATGGCTCATCTCCCAAACACACACACACACACACACACACACACACACACACACACACAAAAGAAGCACACATTCCCAGTTCTAGGTGTTTCCTTATATATTTCTTTATAATAAATGTCTTGAAGCAAATTAAGAACAGAAAATTACATTTTGATTATAAAATTGTTTCTTTGTAATAACTCATCTTCTAAGTTATGTTACATAGAGACTGAGAAATAATATATGGAATTAGATTTATGGAACAAATCTGATTCTGTTGGAGGAGTTCGAGTTTGTCTTCTTAGTTGGTGGTGTTGATGTTTTAAATATTTTCCATAAGCAACAAATGGAGGAAACTGATTGAATAAAATGCATGTTCCCAGAAGAAATAACTAGCTTTAGATTTCTTAATTACAGAGCACAGTCTTTTTCTCTGTCAAACCCATTCAAACATGTCATAAACTTCACAGTAATCAATGCAGTCATCTTAATACTAGACTCTTTTCCAAATGAAGTGCTTAGATTTCATCATGTGCATCACACTATTGAACAGTTACGTTAGACTGTGTTCCCATTTCTCATGTATCTGTAAAATCCCTTAAGCAGCCATTTGTATGTTCTGTTCAACCAGGCTATGGTGTTCTGCTCCCCTCTGGGTTCTGTCCTACTAGATTCTTTTGCCATGTGCTAGCATATTTAATCTGTCTTCCACAGCTTTGACTTGTCTCTCTCCATGTTTTCACAAGTGTAGTCAGTCATTCTTCCTTTCCTTTCTCAAATCAAGGATCTGCCTCTACTCCATTTTCAGTCACATTCTATGGTTATATTCACTTTTCTCAATTTCTCAGTCATATGTTCCTTGAGTTATTCTTGAGCTTCAGCACTTCTTTCCTAATTTTTAAAAACAGAGAGGTCAGATCTTTTAATGATTAACATTTTTTTAAATCCCAATGTAAATCTTCTTCTCCTCAAATATCAGGTTTATGACTGTTTTATGCATTTAGTGACTTTTCCATGCAGCAGTATTTTCTACTCCCTATTTAGCCTTGCCACTTGTATCTCTCCAAAAGTCTTGTAATATTAATACTCCAGGTAAATATATTAAATGCATAAAGAGGGAATAGAGGCTTGTGAGAGATGGTTGAACTGTATCTCAAATTCAGCTTCAAGAATTTGGATATTTTGAAAATTATTCCCCTATACCACAGCTCTTTCTTAGGTGTGTCTTATCCTCTTGGTCATATTTTGGACTACATTTCTCCCAACAGAACTTTTCTGTTAGACTCTATATAGATTATTTCAGAGCACACCTAGTGTGAAAACTTGCAGAATGCATCTCTAAATGGAAGCCTGCTTCAACACCAAATGCAAAATGCAGCTGTGCCAAATACCTGCCCTGTAATATATAAAACCTATGTTGACAAATTACAGAGAAAATACACCAAGCCAAAGTGGTAGAGACTGACAGGGTAGACTTTAGCGCTATGCATATTTAATACATTTAAGAATAAGTTCCTTCAAAATACTGCTGTTATCTTAGTTGAAATGGAACAATTAAGCATATGTAGTTAAATCTTTAAAATTGTTGCTGTGAACAAAGCATTGATTGTTTAATTCAGGGAAATCAATTGCATTGATGTCATTGACTTAAATGTGAGGTACATCCAATTGCTCACTAAAGTGAATTATGTACATCTCTTCCCAATGGTAGCTTGAAATTGGCTCTGAGGGGAATATTTAAAGCATGGAACTTACCAAACACAACAAATATAACTTTCATTTAGAGTGTCAGTTGTTAAATATTTACCATTTTGCTAGTGGATTCATACTAGTATATTATCTACCACTGAAAAAGCTAATATTGGCTTAAACCAGAAAAAAAGGATTAAAAAATTTAGCAAAAGTGAGTATGTTTTATATGATA